GGAGAGGGAGCACATCAGGGAGGGGGGAGCCTGGAGAGAGGGAACCCCTGGGACCCACAGCAGCTGAGGTGGGGGGAGCCCAGGGACCCTGAAATGTGGGGCCTGTAGAGGGGGGACCCCAGAGAGGGGGGAATCTCAGGGCCACTGGCAGCCTAGAGAGGAGGGGAGCACAGAGAGGAGGGACCCCCAGGACCCCTGTTTGGGATCATGAAGTTCATTATAAATTCCTATCAGGCTGAACAAAGGCACTGGACATGTGCCAGGAACTCTTATGTTTTATTGTACCCAACACTTCCATGGGTTCTCAACTTCCTCCACAAACTCCTCCAAGGTACTGGCTCACAAGGCCCAGCACAGCTCCACAATCTTCCCTTCTTCAGCATCCACCAATCCTGTGTGACCCAGAGACTTTGTGTAAATGGGAAGACTCATATTGTATTCAAACGAAATAAATGAACCTACAGCAATTTTTTTGAGATCCATCCTCAGCAGAGCAGGACTGAATGGGAAATGAGAACAGCTTTCTGACTGCACCAGCTTTGGGATGGGCCCGGTGTGTGCAGCAGTGAGAGCTCTTGAGGACCACAAGGGCTTTTGTGCTGCCCTGGGGAGATGGGATGGCAGAGAGGGGCTGCAGAGCTCTCAGGATCTTCCGGAGAGGAGAGCAGGGCACACAGGGAGCCTCCTTTTCCTTTTGCCAATCTCATTCACCCATTCAGTCCTCTCTGAGCTCCAGCTGCTGCTGTGCTCTCTCAAAGGAGCTGGAGATGTAGTGCCACTGCCCAAAGCACCCTGCCCTGGGCAAGGCTGTGGGGCCAGACCTGACTAGGTTGTGCTGGGGAGAGACCCTTGGTGGTGGAGAGAGCTTAGGGGAGGTGGGAGAGCTTGAAGGGAGCTGGGCTGGGCTGGAAAGGACCTGGAAGAGAAAATCATCTGTGTGTATCTGACACTGTGTGACCGTGCAGGAGGAGGACTCACACCAGGGGGATTGTGGTGCAGAGCCAGGGCCTGTGGAAGGTATCAAATATTTGAAACTTCCAGAGAGAGGAGGCTGATCTGTGCCCTTGGTGGCATGAACAGATCAGGAAGGTGGCCCAGGACATTAGTTACCCCACAGCCTCTCTCCTCAGCCATTTCTGGCACTGACTGCTCAGCCCAGGGTTATGGGTGAGTTTTGCTGTGCCTCCCTCCATCCTCCTTCTGGGCTTGGGGCCTGTTCCAGGGCCATGGCCAGCCCTGCCTGGCCTCTCTCCTGGCCCAGAGCCTGGCAGATCCTGGAGCAGGACTCTCTGTGAAGCCCCACAGGTGACAGAGCCTCTCCAGCATCTTGGAGAGGCCACTGAACAGGAAAGCTCTGGGGTGACCAAGTCCCAAGGACTGCCCTGGGCATCCCATCAGACGGTCCATTCCCCACCCTGAGTGCTCCTGTCCTGGGCTGAGCCTGCACAGTTGGGGTTGTGGGGCCATGTGATGGAAGCAGGCCTGGGATGTCACAGGACAGGTTATGAACAGGGGTCATGAAGCTGCTGCCAGGGGGTGACAGCAAGGCCAGGTCCAGACAAGGAATTTCTGTGCATGGCCTGGGCTGTGCAGGTGGGACTGTGGGAAAGGCAAAGCTCACCTGGAGTTGGTGGCTGCAAGAAAAGCCAAGAGCAAACAGAGCTTCAATCTCTCTGCTGGAGACCAAAGATCAAAGAGGGAAATGCAGGGCTGCTGTGGAATGGGGAGGGGGATTTAATTCCAGTAGACGCTGATGTGGTGCTGAGGGACTCCATGGCTTCTTTGCCTGAGTCTTTACTGGAAAGGTCTCTCAGGCCTCTGTGCTCGCTGAGGGGCTTCAAGGAGGGGGAGAGCACATGTTGGTAGGAACCTCATGAAATCCCAGAAGGACAAATGCCAGTGTCTGCCCCTGCAAGGGACTCATCCTGGCCATGGCACAGGCTGGGAACTGCCTGGCTGGGAGCAACCCAGTAAGAAAACTCTGATGGGCAGGGAACTGGACAGGAGGCAGCAAGGGAGGCCAGGAGCACCCTGGGCTGTGTGACCCCTATCAAGGTGGTGGATTATCCAGGTTACTGTGCCTTGGTTTTGGTTCCTCAACATAGGAAAGATGTCTGTAAGCTTGAGCAGGTTTAGTGAAGGGCCTCCAAGATGGAGCTGGAGCACTTTGCCTGTGAGGAAAGGCTGAGGGAGCTGGGCTTGGATTGGGTGCAGCCACACCAACGTTCCCCTCGGAGAAGGAGTTTAGAAAGCCAGGGGTCCTCTGTGGGTTTTGGGGTGTTCGGGATCCTTTCTGGACCTTGTGACTCAAAAGTATCTTCTCTAATAAACTTTGTCTGAAGCTCACAGTCTACCCTGTAATAGGGGGGCACTAGGAACAATGAGGAGGACACTGGGAGCGCTGGGGAGACTGGCAAGCACTGCAGGGGGACACTGATGTCACTGGGGACCAGTGATGGACACTGTGAGCACTGGAAGGGGCCACTGGGAGCAGTGGGTATCATGTCTCAGTTGCCCCAATCCAGCTCCCACTTTGAGTGGGGGCTGTGGGGAGGGACCGGGGGGTTCCTGTAGTTTTGGAGTGCTCCCCCAGAGCAGTGAGGGTTTGACTGACAGCTGGCATTTATTGGGGGGAAGGAAATGGGGCAGGGGATGCTGAGGGTGCTGAGGGGGTGGGTGCTGAGGGTGTCCAAGTGTGGGGTCCTGGGTGTGCCGGGGTTGTCCAAGTGCAGGATGCTGGGTGACAAGAGTGTTGGGGGTGGCCATGTGTGGGGTGCTGGTGGAGCTGGGAACTGGGCTTGCTGGGTGCATTGGGTGTCCAGGTGCCGGGGTTGCTGAGAGTGCTGGGGGTGCTGCATGGGTGCAGCCACTGCACTCAGATGGAGATGCTGTTCTCAGTCTCCAGTGGGTTCAAGTAGTTGTATCTCAGCTCAGCCAGGTAGTTCCTCTCCTCGATCCGGTCTCGGATCTCCTCCAGCCGCCTTTGGAAGGCCCGGATAAGCCGCCGAGGTTCCGCCTCTGTGAACCGCTCCTCGGGGTACTGTCCCAGGAGCCTCTGGGGGGACAGGGATGGAGATCCCTCAGCTTCAACCCCTTGGTGCTATTGGGGGGTTCTCTGGCACCCTGGTAGCTGTGGAGCAGTGGTGGCCACGCTCCAGGATTGAGGACACCGAAGGTGCTGACATCCAGCCTTGTGGACACCTTTTGGGTTTCCCAGCCCCATGGACCCATTTGGGGGGGCCATGGGGATTGTGGGGACAGACTCACCCTGTCCTTGAGTTGGGAGCTGAGGAGGATCAGGGTCACTAGGATGTTGGCAGTGGTGGACACCTCAGGGACCGTGTCGAGGAAGTGCTGGAGGAAGGCCCGTCCCTTCTCGCGGGGCGGCGGGTGGCGCATGGAGGATGGGGCATTGGGGACGAAGGCGCCTAAGTCATACTGCAGGGGGACACGTCACTGGAGAGGACAACCTCCCAAAACAGCAAGGGGATGGGTGGGGACATCCCCTGGCACAGAGAGGGGAGAGATGGGAACATATCCCCAGCATGGCAAGGGGATGGATAGGAACATCCTGTCCAGCATGGACTGATGGGGACATTCTCTCCACCATGGAGAGAGGATGGGACAGATGGGGTCATCCCTTCCTGCGTAAAGAGGGGATGGATGGGGACATACCTCTGGCATGGGGACACATTGGATGGGGATGTCGTTCTGAGGTAGAGTGGGGAAGTCCTTACAATATGGGGACAGGAGGGATGGGGACACCCCTCTGGCATGTAGAGTGGTGTGACACGGATATTAGTTCAGGATAGGGACATCCCTCTATCATGTAGAGTAGTGTGACATGGACATTGGTTTAGGATGGGGACATCCCTCCTGCACATAAAAGGCTGGGAGGGGGACATGACCCCAGCACAGCTGGGGACATCCTTTAGGTCTCTGGGTCCTGTCTCACCTGCCCATTGTTGACAGCTGCGTGCTGAGCCGAGCAGGTGAACATCACCATGCTGAGGAACTTGATGAGCTCTTCCACTGTCTGCAGTGAGGAGGGGACACCTGGGTGGGAGGGGGACAGCCAAGAGCCTCAGGGACCTGTCCCTGTCTCCTGCCACCCCTGGGGACATGCCGTGGCAGCTGCAGGTGTGCTACCTGAGGAGGTCCTGCCCAAGAAGCCGTTGGTGAAGATGTCCATCACCCAGGCCTGCAGCTCCGTGTCCCCGCGCACTGCAGCATCCCCACCATAGTAGAAGGTCACAATGCCGGTGACAAAGCTGCCAAAGGGATGAGATGATTGTGAGGTCCTGAGGCACACCCAAGACCACTTCCAACCCCCGAAACTGGTCCCACCTCTCAATGGCTTCCCAGAGGCTCATCCCGTCATCCCGGTAGTGGTAGTTGGGGACATTGGACATGCCACGGTGGCGGATGTCATCAGGGAGGCACAGGGACGTGTAGGTCACCTGCTCCAGGCCCCGCTGCACCACCAGCTTCAGCCCCTCATAGGTAACCCCTGAGCCCTGGGAGAGGGGAGGCACCCATGGGTGGGCAGGTCAGGGCAGGAGGCGTCAGGTTTCAGTGTCCTCCAGTGTTCCCAGCATACCCCCGTGTCCCCCAGTGCTCCCAGGGCACCAGTCCTCCAGGTACACACCCAGTCCCCCAGTGCACCCCAGTGCTCTCCAGTGTCCTCAACTCCAGGTTCTCTAGTTTCTCCCAGGGCTCCCATATTTCCCAGGGCCTCCCAGTTTCCCCAGTACACTACAGTGTTCCCCAGCAATTCCAGTACACTCCAGTGCTCCCAGTAGCACCTCAGTACCCCCCAGAACTCCCAGTAGACCTCACTGCCTCCTAGTGCCCCAAGTAGACCCCACCACCCCCAATACCCCTCAGTGCACCCAGTGCCCACTGTTCTCTCAGTGGCCCCCAGTGCCTCCAGCAGACTCCAGCAGACTGACCCCAGTGTCCCCAGTACACCCCAGTGCCCCCCAGTGCTCCCACAAGGCCCCAGTGGCCCCAGCAGAGCCCAGTACTCCCAGGCCCCAGGGCTTACCTTGTCGATGAGGCCGCCGGGGTTGATGAGGACGGAGCGCGCCAAGGTATTGATGTGCAGCGTGAAGCGGAAGTGGGGCATGAGGAGCTGAGGGGGGAACCAACACCTGCCAGGTGACCAGGGACCCCCCGCATGAAGCCGGGGGGAGGGGGTCCCATGGGGCATTGCCACTGTCAGATGAGTGAGGGCGCAGCAGGTGGCCCTCAGGAGGGACCTTACCTTGAAGAGGGGGTGGCATGTGGGCAGGTGGCGCAGGGTGGCAACGGCGAAGACCTCCCCGAACAGGTGGGTCCTCAGCAGGTGGGTGAGGAGCTGGTGGCTGTAGAAGTCAGCATTGCGCACCCAGGTCTTGGCCAACAGCCAGTCCCACTCATCATCACTCGGCAGGAAGATGGGGCTGGAGCGTCCTGGTGTTTGGCTGAGCTGTGGGACACCATCCCATGGTCTGGGACCATCCTCACCCTCCCCACGGCACAGTTTGATGTGGGGCATCCCTACCTGGATGGCAATGGGGCGCAGGAGCCCATCAGTGCCCTGGTGAAGGAGGCAGAGTGGGGCTGCCACGTATTGCTGGCGCCCATTGATGGTGTCAGCTGGGATGTCATCTAACACCTCATAGTCCACGATGAAGATCCGACCTTCTTGCAGCTCCTTGCCCAGGTCAGTGCCACTCCCCAGTGAGCCAGCCACCATTTCTGGCGTCACCGGGAATTTGGATGGCAACACAGTGCAACATCGAATGATGATGGGGTTGTTGCCATTGAGGAACTGGTAACCGAAGAACTCATCTTCTTGCCAGTGCTTGGCCACGTACTCAGGGACTAGCGGGGTGGTCAGATATCAGCACCCACTTACCCACCCTCCAGGGAAAGGGAAGCCCTGAGTGGTGGGGAGGGGAACACACAAGGCACCCACCAATGTCTCTTCCCTGTGTCCGGGAGAAGATGGTGCGCATCTCATCCAGACTGTCCCAGGAGGTGTTTCTCAGCAGGAACCCTGACAGAAAGTGGGAGGCCCCTCTACAGGGCAGAGGGGAACCTCAGCACAGCCCCCTCTCTTCTCTGGCCCCTCTTCCCACAACCATCCAGATCCCACCCAGCCTCAGGGCAGTGCTTACTGTAAGATGAGGAAACCAGTGAAGTTAGTGACTCTGACAGAGGAGAACTGGATATTGGAGTCCAACTCGAGGATGGAGCCCACGCTGAGGCAATGGGGCCAGCCCTGGGCGTAGTTCTTCCACCTGGTGTGGTACATGGGGACAGACATCAGCATCACCGCTGACCGCCCACCTGGCCGAGGTGGGCCTTGTCCCCACGTCCCCACTGTCACCGGAAAGCCTCCTGCCGTGCCGCCAGTTCCCGATGCCGATGTTCCTTGAGGATCTGCAGCTCATCATCCGCCAGCTTCTTCCCTGGAAAGGAGGAGGTGGGGTCAAGGTTGGACCTCCAGCCGTCAGAGGAGGATTGGGGTTTGGGCATGTCTTACCTGAGCCCTCCCGCACCTCCACCGTGGTGACCCCCTCCAGCCACTGGTAGTAGGGGAAGCGGTAAAGGGTGCCGTCAGGGGCTGTCACCCGGACATCCTTGCAGAACCAGGCATCCTCCAAGAAGAGCCGCCACTTGTGCAGGCGGATGAGGACAATAGGGCCCAGGTCCTGCCCACAGTCCACAGACAGGCTCTTCTCCTGAAGAGGAGGGAATGGCTTCTGAAGAGTGCGCAGATGCCCCAGGGTGGCACCACGGGACACCAGCAGAGAAGAGGCTCAGAGCATCCCCTTGCTTCCAACCCTCCAGGATCCTTATCTTCCACCATCCCCCCCCAAATCCTTTTCCTCTACACCCCTGGAACCCCTTTCCATTCCCCCCCCAAAGATCCCTTCCCACCATTTCCCAAGACTTCTTCCCACCCATCCCCACAAGACCCCTTTCCCAGCATCCCCCCCCAAATCCCTTCCCACCATCTCCTTGTACTCCCAGAAGAGTCTGTGCAGCCCCTCATGTCCCTGGGACAGCCTGTGCCACCTCTCATGTCCCCAGGACAGCTCTGCCACATGTTGTGTCCTCATCCCCACCTGTCCCGGCAGGAACAAGAGGGAGACAGTGGTCCTGCGGCTCTCGCCTCGGCTGCCCACCAAGGTGATGGAGATGGAGTTGTTGGTGCCAGCTTCTGCCACATCACCTGTGGCCACTGTCACCTTGTACCTGGCCATAGCGAGCTGAGGTGGTGTCCAGGAGATGCCTTCAGAGAGGAGTGAGGGGCTCTGGGGTGCAAACTGCTGTTTTGGGTGTTTTGGGTGTCCCAACCCCTGTGGCTGTTGCGCAAGTGGGTGACAGATCCTTCCTCCTCAGGGAGGTGTTATCAGATCACTGCTAACAGCCAGCATCCGGTACATCTGATCTCAACAGTACATCTGATCTCAACAGTTGTGGCCATGGGGACATTACCCAAGTGATGGCCCTGGGGGTGGCTGTGGGGATGTTACTCAAGTGACAGTCCTGAGGGTGGCCTTCGGGACATTACCCAAGTGACAGTCCTGGGGGTGGCCGTGGGGACATTACCCAAGTGATGGCCCTGGGGGTGGCCGTGGGGACATTACTCAAGCAACGGCCCCAGGGCTGGCCATGGGGACATTACCCAAACGATGACCCCAGGGGTGGCCTTGGGCCAAGGGAGGGACATTAACCATGGGCCAGAAGCTCAACCTGCCCCCCAGGGTCTCCTCACCTGTGTGACCCAGGAACAGCATTTCCCAGTCCTGGGGAGACATGACCATACTGGAGAGAGTCCATGAATGGTTATGAAGGGACTGGAGCACTTGGTTGGTGCTGTACTCAAGGTTTGGGCTTCCATGATCATGGATTCACTTCTGCGAAGGTCTGTTGGGAGTTGGTGGGATTCACCTGACCAGCTGGAACAACTGGGTCATCACCAGTAAGGTGGCCAGATGCCTCAGGGAGCTTTAAACCGGACAAGGGGAAGGGCCACCAATATGATGACTGGGACTGGAGAAGGCTGAGGGTGCTGGAATGGAAAGACACTGTGGGGCCTCGTGAATTCCATAAATACCTGTAGAGAGGGTGTGGAGACGATGGAGGTTTAGGCACGTATCTCCTTCTCCAGGAAGAGGGACAGAAGAAGATCAACATGCAGGTCAAATTCTTGAGGGCATTGAGGTATCCTGTGAGCAGTGGAGGGCAGTTGTGGTCTTTCAAGCCCTTGGTCTCCAGCTCTTCCACTGCTCTGGAGGCACCCAGAGCCCCACGGTGGCCCTGGAGAAGATCTGGTTGCATCTGTGACATTGTCCCTGGTGTCCACCCCACCTGTTTTGGGAACAACATGAAGCCAAGCTGGATCCTTTCATGTTTAATCATGGACAAGGCTGGTCAGTCTCACCTCTGTGCTGGGCAAGATCATGGAGCAGATCCTCCTGGAATCCATGCTAAGGTACATGGAAAATAAGGAGGTGGTTGGTGACAGCCAGCATGGCTTCACTGAGGGCAAATCAAGCCTGACAACTTTGGTGTCTTTCACGACAGGGTTACAGCAGTGGTGGAGGGGGAAGAGCAACTGATGTCACCCACCTGGACTTGTGCGAAGCATTTGACACTGTCCTGCACAACCCCCTGGTTTCCAAACTGGAGAGATATGGATATGAGGGATGGCCTACTCAGTGAATAAGGAATGGGTTGGATGGTCACACTCAAAAGGTCGCAGTCAACAGCTCGATGGAAGAGTGGAGGCTGGTGACAAGGGGCATCCTCAAGGGAAGGGGATGGGACCGGTGCTGTTTGATATCTTTGTCAGTAACAGGACAGTGGGACCAATCATACTGGGAGTGACTGGAACTGTCTAAGACAATAGAAGGAGTGACTGGGATCAGACTGGAATCGTACTGGGGGTGAGTGGAACTTACATGAACCTTAGTGGGAGTGACTGGAACTGCCTGAGACCATAGAGGAAGAGACTGGGATCACATTGGGAGTGGCTGGGATCATAATGGAATCATTCTGGGAGTGACAGGAACTGACTGGGATCATACTGGGGGTGATTGATACCATATCGGGATGAATGAAGCAACTTTGACCAAGCTGGGGGTGATTGTCATAATACTGGGAGTAACCAGGAGTGACTACAATTCTACTGGGAGTAGCTGGAAGTGACTGGGATCATGCTGGAAGTGACTGGGATCATACTGGAAGTGACTGGAAAAATACCCAAACCTCACTGGGGGTGACTGGGAGCAACTTAGACTAAGGTGGGGGGAATTGGGATCCTACTAGAAGTGACTGGAAGCAACTGGGTTCATATCGGGAGTGTCTGCAACCACACTGGGGGCAAATGGCATCATATTACAGGTGACTGGGACTATACTGGGAGTGACTGCAACTGACTGAGACCATAGCGGAAGTGACTGGAATCATACCGGAGATTATTAAAACCATACTGGGAGTGACTGGGAGCAATTAGGACCACACAGGGAGCAACTGTGATCTGATTGGGAGTGAGTGGGAGCGACTGGGAGTGACTGGAATCATACTGAGATTATTCTAGGAGTGATGGAGAACATACTGGGGTCATACGGGTAGTGATTGAAACTGAATGTGACCCTAGTGGGACTGCCTGAGATTATATTGAGGGTGACTGGAAGCAAGCAGGACTATGCTGGGGGTGACTGGGATCATACTGGGAGTGACTGGGAGAGAGTAGGATCAAACTGTGAGCAACTGGTACCGTGCTGGGGGCAACTGGGATCATACTGATACTGACTGAGACTGAGTGGGATCATACTGGAATCATACTGAGAGTGACTGAAACCATACTGGGAGTGACTGGAATTGGCTGGGCTCCTACTGGGAGTGACCGGAAGCGACCTGGTTCATACTGAGAGTGACTGGAACCACACTAGGAGCAACAGGAACCACACTGGGGGCATCTGAGATTATACTGGGAATGACTAGGAGTGACAGACATCATATTGGGATTGTACTAGGAGACACTGGAACCGAATGGACCACAGTGGGATTGACTGGAATCATACTGGAAGAAACTGGAACCATACTGGGGGTAACTTGGAGGAACCAGGACCATGCTAGGGGTCACTGGGATCATACTGGGAGTGACTGAGAGTGACTGGGTTCATACAAGGATCATAGTAGGAGTGACTGGGAGCATGCTGAGGGCAACTGGGATGATGTTAAGTACAGCTGGGATACACTGGGAGAAGCAGATCATCATGGAGATAACTGGGATCATACTGGGAGCAACTAGGACCACTGAGAGTGACTGGGAGTGACTGGGAGCATGCTGGGGACAACTGGGATCAAACTGGATGTGACTGGGAACATATTGCGAATGACTGGAAACATACTGCGAGTGACTAGAAGTGAGTGGAACCCTACCGGGGGTGACTGGGAGCAAATTGGACCAAGCTGGGGGCAGTTGGTATTCTACTAGAAGTGACTGGAAGCGACTGGGTTTATGCCAGGAGTGTCTGGAACCACACTGGGGGCAAATGGGACCATACTGGGAGTGACTGGAACTGACACCATAGTGGGAATGACTGGAATCATACTAGGGATGACTGGAACTATACTGGGGGTGAATGAGAGCAACTTGGCCCAAGCTGGGGGGCAATTGGCATAATAATAGGAGTGCCTGCAAGTGACTGGGATCAGATCTCCCTGAACCCCACATTCCAGCCAACCCGGGTCTCCCCACCCCCTGACCCCCTTTTCCTCAATGTTGGGACCCCTGGACCACCCTTTCCTGGGCACTGGGACCCCTTGGACTCCACATCCCTTGTCTCTCCATCCCCAGCCCCCCTTTCCTTGACCCTGTGACTCCCCTGAATCTCCTTCAAGCTCTCCCAGCTCTTCCAGTTCTCCCTTTTCTTCACCCTTGGCCCCCCTCAGACTCCTCCAAGCTTCCGTGTCCCCATAGTTCTCAATTCTCGGCGCTTCCTGCACTCCGCACTGTTGGAGCCCAGGCTGCGGGTCTCCCAGTACATATCCATGGATGGTTCCAGGGAGTTCCAGGGAGATCCCAGTGTGTTCCCAGGAGGATACAGGGGAATCACCCAAAATTTCCTGTGTCACCATCATACTCCCCCTCCAGCACTCCCATGCCATCCCATCCCATCCTATCCCATCCCCCCCCCCACCGCACTGCTTTAGACCCCTGCAACGGAATTCCTAGGCACAGGGGCCCCCCTGAACTTCCATTTCCAGGCACAGGGATCCCCCTGCACCATATTACCTGGCATTGGGACCCCCCTGAACTTTCTAATCCAGCACAGACACACCCCAGACCTCCATTCTTGGGCATGGGGACCTGAACCTGCATTTCTGGACCCCCTTTTCCAGCATTGGGACTCCCTGAACTCACATTTCTGGGCACCTAGACACCCCTGAACCCCTTTCCCTGGTGCCAGGACTGCCCCTGCACCCCCTTATCAGACACCAGGACCCTTCTGCACCCTCTTATCCTGCACGAATATCCCTCTGCACCCATCCTTTCTCTCCCAGCCCTTGGATGGCCCTTTTCCATGAAGCTGGATTCCCCCTGGAACCTCATTCCTGCCTTTCCCAGTCCCCAGATCCCTCTTTCCTCAAAACTGAGAACCCCTGCAACCCCCCCTTCCCAGCCGTCCCAGGTCTCCCACCCTGTGACCCCCATTTACTTGACATTGGGGAGTTTAGAGAGTGTCCTGGAAAATTTAAATGCTTTTCCTAATGTACAGTGCTATCAGTCAGAGCTGTTGAACCTCTAGAGTGGGAATATAAAAGTCAAGCTGTTGAGTTTTTCATCCTGGATACTCCTAGTGTTTGAGCAGTTAGTGGTGGGCTTCGTTTTGGATCCTGACTCTGAGACTGAAGGATTATGATGATATGGAGAACTGAGAAGGAAAGTGCAGTTCAGTGGGTGCAGTGGAAGATGGAATCAGCAACAGCTTTCTCACCTGGCCCTTTTGTGGGCCAGAAGTTTTCAATTGTGTAGCTGGATTCTGTGAGAGTGACAGAATTTATTGGTACATATAATTGGGAAGGAGTTCGTGTTGTCTCTCAAGTACGGTGTAAATAGGAGTTTGCACATGAAAGGGGAAGGTCAGCCAAACCTTTCTTTGAGGGTAGTGATGTTTTCAACTTGGATTTGCTCTTTGGCTGCTTTAGCTGGTTCAGTCCTGGGACCTTGCCAGTATCAGAGCTGAGG